TCGTTTTCGGATTCAATGAGCATATCCAGGAATATGGAATCAGAAAGCGAACAATCGTCTTTGGGTGAATGCAATGAGGCTGCCATCTTCTGAGTTGGTAGGGACGAAGGAGATGGCGGAATTGCTGATTGTTCCGTTGTGAATATTAGAGCACTGAAAGCTGAGTCATCTAATGAGCAGCCGAAATCGGACCCGGATTGATATCTAGAGGGTTCTGGGCTTGGTCGATGCTTCTCGATTGCTTGGGAGGCGACCCTATTGTAAGCCTCTAAATTTTTCCGTACGGATATACGCTGTTTAGGATCGTCTTTAGTTTCAACGATGCCACTTTGAGCATTTTTCGTGATTTTGCTTCGCTCATTTTCTGCAATAATGGGTGAGCTTTTGTTCTCGTCAACGCATTTCGTGGCTCGTTTGGGCACTGGAAACTTTTTCGATTCTGTCCTTTCAATTTGATGTTTATCATCTGCTAAATTACCGTTTTCGGCAAACACCATCCCAGTATGAAGAATTTTTGAACTAGCTGATNAGCATTGATTCAGTTAATGGTTCACGTTTCACGTAGGAAGATATCGATGTTCGACTCATCTTTTTGGTGATTTTATCCAAAATTTTTTCATCTTCAACCAGTGTCGCCTTATCATCTGTTTCGTTTGGTCGTTTCTCAATCTGACTTGCACGTATTTTGATATCGAGGATTTCGTCATTATCATCATTATTGCCTGAAGGCAAGCCATCTTTACCGTTATCCTCATCACGAACGCAGTCTAAAGCTGCAGATGTTGTGGTATTCTCAACATTAGACCCGTACAGTGATCGCTCGTCAAAACATTCTTCACCATATATCTGAAAGAGGAAAACATGTTATCAGAACTCACCATTATCACTGTCAGTATCGCAAAGAAACAAAATAACATCAACAACTCCCAAAAAACCAACCGAACTTCCATCAAACAAGTCACGACTCGACAAATCCAGAAGACACTTTTCATCCAGATTGATTTCTTGCTGCGAACGATTCATCTCGTTTTCGATCGATGGCGATTCAGTTGGCTGTTGAATGCTTTGAGAATTGAACTGACTCGAATCGTTATCTTTCACAGTATACGACGTATCACTCGACGAGCTCAGCAACAAAGAAAGTTGTGTTTCTGAGAAGACACCAAGATTTCTGAACGATATCAATTCATCGAATAACGTTAATGACCATAATGTCGGAAAAGTTTTCACGCCTATCGTTGGAACGACTCTTTCAATAAACGAAAACATTTCAGTATTAACTGATCATTGAGTGGAAGTTAATAAATTGCGATAACACTTAACAGCTAATAAAGAATGTATTCAGTATGTTATTTCCTTTGCCATACTGTAAAGGCAATTTTGTTTGTGCATTCCAATAAGGAAATTATAGTATCGCGAAAAGGACTTTGGCTCTTGACTCTGAGAGAATTTATCGACCAGAGCCATGATAACTGTGAAATTGTGGTACTTATTTGCTAAATTTCATCTGCTTAACTGGAAAAAAATTGCGTTCTGATAACATGTTTT